ACAGAGCAGTGCATGTCCCTGTATCTAAAAGCATTAACACTTAGTTTTTCTCTACACTAGGAAAAATGTGGAGGGTGGGCTTTTTCAGGCTTTAAACTCTCTCAGTTTTCTAACTTTACATCCTCCTTCATTCTATGGAGGGAGCACAGTGTCTGCTTCTCTGATTTGTTGCTCATCTCTTAGGTTTCAGCTTCTCCCTCGAGTGCCATCTCTTCCGGACAGAATCGCACAGAACTCAGCACAGACATCTCCGGGGCTCCGGCCCTCCTAGAGGCCACTGTCTGTCTGGTGCCCTACCTTCCACTCTGGCTGCATCCGCTGATTCCTGGGGCTGGGCCTGGGCGTCCAGCAGGGATGGGTAAGCCGGCTGCCCTGCCAGGGCCTCGGGCGCGTATTTCCTGTAGACGCGGCAGCTGAGCAGGTCCCTGAGAGCGCTGTCGTCGAGGCGCTCTGGCAGAGCCAGCAGCAGGTCCTGGGCCAACTCCATGGGCACGGCCAGCTCAGCCAGGATCTCGTCATCCAGAACCTGCCATCGGGAAAAGCTCACTGCGGGCAGCCCTATGAGCACAGAGGCCCAGGGGACGGGGTAGGGGTGGGGGTCTCTGCATGTGCCTTCTCCATCCTGAACCTGTCATGGCTGGCAGCTGGCTCCTCCCAGACGACTCGCCAACTCCTCCGAACTTAGACCCTCCCCTGCAGCCCCTTCCACTATCAACCTCCATGTCCCACCGGAGCCCTCCAAATGCTCTAGCCCAGTGCAGCCCGTGCAGTGGAGCCCCCCAGCTTCGGGGTCTACCTCCCCATCCAGGTTCTCCTGGAGGATCTGCAGAACCTCCTGGTGGTCAGGCCCATCCAGCTTCTTGATGAAGAAGAGGAGCTCCCACCACTCGGCCTGGGTCAGGTGTTCGCTATCCTCCGTGTCCTCATCCTCAGGCAGCACGTAGGGCACGGCATAGAGCTCTGCCATGGGCTTCCATCGCCAGGAGGGCAGGGCTGTGGAAATGGGGCATCGGGCACAAGGATCACTGCCCAGCCAGCCAGACCACCGCTCCCGTGCTCAAAGCTTACTCCAGCTCACCCTCTGGGCTCACCTACACCCTGGGCTCCACTGCCCACTGCCCCCCGGTACTCATCAGCCTCCGCCATGTCCTCGATGTCTTCCTCAAAACCCAGAATCTCCAGCATGTGCCAGTGTACCCAGTAGGTGCGGCCAGTAGATTCCCACAGCACCTGGAAGAACATGGGGAAAGGGAGGAAAGGGGAACAGAAAGCTCACTTAATGACTGGCTGTGGCCACATGGCGAGGACACACAGCCCTCAGGTGACCCCTGGCCAAAACACTGGCACATGGACAGCATGGACACAGCCTTCTCCTACGGGCACTGGCCCTGCCACTCCTCTCACCTACACTTCCTCCTGCCCTCCACTACCCTGACTCCCTGGCCCTTTGGGAAAGCCTAACTGTCTCAGTTACCTTCCTGGGAGTCTTCCTGACCCCAGAGCCCTCTAAACCCAGATTTTTCCAGCCTTCCAAATGGCCCCCTTCTCAATAGACCCCTCTTTGACCATTTCAATTCCCTTGGGAGTTTTCTCCTTGGGTGGCCTGCCAGAGTCCCCTGCACGGAGGCCCCATCAGGGTCCCACCGCCACGGGCTCTCACCTGCACAGGGGGCACGCCATTGTTGCTCTGCTGGAACTTGCCCTCGTCCCCAGCACTGATCTCCTCGTAATCATCTAGCATCCGCACGCGCATCCCTGGCTGCAGGGTATCCCGCACATACAAGGCATAGGTATTGCCACTTGCGAACTCAGAGCGAGGGCGAAACCGCCTTGACCTCCTGAGGGAGGACTGGGCCTGGGTGGGTGGCAGCGCTAGGCCTGCATCTGCCAGCTGGGGCTGGAAGATGGAACAGGAGGACCGAGCCAAGGGCCCCTGTCTGCTGGAGGCCCAGTCCCAGCGCATGGCCTGCACCAGCTCTGAGATCAGGGTGCCCATGGCCATGCTGAATTCCAACTCCAGCCGACCCCTCTCCCTGCTCAACTCCTCGGGAGCAGAGCTGTTCTGGGCTCCTGGTTCTGCAGCACTGTCATTCAGCTGATCCAGGAGGGAGGCGACATGCAAATAGCGCTTCACCAGGGAGAAGAGCAGCCGTCCTGGGACCTGTAGGACACAGTCTTTGGCCCATGTCCACTTTGTCCCAGCTTTAGCCCCTCTCTCCACACCATCCTCTATGGACAGGTGTAAAGGCCTGGTTGCTAGATCTTCACAGCTCCACCCCCAATGCCCCTGACAGTACCTGTGGCAGCTGAATGCCCTCGAAAGACATGGGGTGTTCAGAGAGTGTGGCCTGTGCAAACAGAGCCAGCAGGGCGCAACGGCTGTCAAAATCCAGGTGCTTCTCAATGGCCTCTTGTTGGCTCAGTGACAGAAGAATCTGGGTCCGGGTCCCTGTAACCCACACCCCAATCAGTAACTGCTCCCTAACCTTAAATTTCCCAGGCATCTCTCCTAGACCCCCTATACCCTCCAATCCTTTTCCCACCATACACTAGGAATGACATGATTTGCTTCGAAAGCCAAAACTTACTTTTTCATATATATG